ATCCAGTGGGAGGCCAAAGACGAGGACTTTGAGGAGTTTGAGGAGGACAGCGAGGAGAGGGCGATGGCGGAGGGGGGGGTGATGGTGGGAACAGGCCCCGCCCCCCCCGGCGGCGGCGAGGAGGAGGACGACGACCACATGGAGTTCTGCCGGGTGTGCAAAGACGGCGGCGAGCTGCTGTGCTGCGACACGTGCACGTCCTCCTACCACATCCACTGCCTCAACCCGCCGCTGCCCGAGATCCCCAACGGCGAGTGGCTGTGCCCGCGCTGCACGGTAAGGGCCGCCGCCCCCCCCACGAATTCTCAACTCGATACCGATACTCAGGAAAATAATCGATACTCGATACCATTTTCAATACCACACGGATAAAAACAAAGACCCCAAAATTGAACTGAATTTTGACAGGTTAGTGTCTTTCATTTCAAACTGACCTGTTACTGATGTTATCTTGACTGGTGGCCCGTATTAATGACCCTAACCCTGACCCTAACCCTAATCCTAACCCTAACCCTAACCCTGACCCTAATCCTAACCCTAACCCTGACCCTAACCCTCCACCCTTCATAATTGTGAGGAATAAATATTTTTTGGGTGAAACTTGTTTGGACTTATTGTACAAACCTATTTAACATCCACTATTTTAACATAATATTATGGATAGAGTTTAATTCAGTGTTTGAAAGATTATTTTCACTATTTTTAAATTATTGTCTATATTGCCATGAGGCAATTAGGATTTTCTTGCCTGGGATCTTCCTATTGGTGACGTAATCAAAATGGCCGATTGGATGTGGGCGGAGTTGGATATGTACTTGATTACTGTTGCCGTGTTGTTATTAGCCATTAGCCGCAGCTAGCAGTTCAAGGCTAACGTCTTGTTAATGATCAGAAACAACGTAAATAAATACATAAATAAATCTGAGAGAAGGGGGGAGGTATTGATACTTTTGAAAATGAGTATCGTATCCGGATACAACATTTTAGTATCGATACTTTTTTAAGTGTCGATACTTTTGACAGCCTATCCTCCTCTCCCCGCAGTGTCCCCCCATCAAGGGGCGCGTCCAGAGGATCCTCCACTGGCGCTGGGGCGAGCCGCCGGCGCCCGTTGCCGTGCCGACGCCCGCCGGGGCCCCGCCCGACGCCCCGCCCCCCCCGCCCATGAAGGGCAGGGCGGAGAGGGAGTTCTTCGTGAAGCTGACGGGCCAGTCGTACTGGCACTGCACCTGGATCACCGAGCTGCAGGTGAGGCGACGCCTTCAGGGGCCGCAGGAAAAAACGGGACAAATCTGACAGACCTCCTGGAAACAAACAGACAAACAGACAGACAAATAGACAGACAGACAAACAAACATACAAACAAACATCTTTGTGATGGTTTTCTGTAGTTTCCTGGATTCATTTAGTTCCTGTTGTCTCAGTTTTGTGTTAATGTGTAACCGTTCTTAGTTAATTCTGATTTCTAACCCAGATGAAGACCAAATTTCAGCCATATTTCAACCACTAAAACAGTCTTTTCTGTTTGGGTAAATGAATGGAAGTTGACATCTTGATCAGAAATAAGGATTTCCATCATTTTTTAGTAAAACAGTGCATTTGAAAATGCATCAGTAATAATTATATACTATTATTATTATATTTTAGAGTCATTTGGGATAAATGATGAGCTCCGGGTGTGTTAACAGTTACAGACACATAAAGTTATTGTTAATCTAGGGAATAAACCTCTGATACAGATGTTAAGCTCTCTATATTCAGAGTTCGCCAACTTAAAATCTCGGCTGAATATGTTCCCCTTCCAGCTGGAGATCTTCCACTCGGTGATGTACCGAAACTACCAGAGGAAGACAGACATGGACGAGCCGCCCAGCCTGGACTACGGCTCCGGCGGCGAGGACGAGAACGCCGTGGGGAAAAACGAGAAGAGGCGCGCCAAAGACCCGCAGTTCGCCGTGATGGAGGACAGGTTCTACCGATACGGCATCAAGCCCGAGTGGATGATCATCCACCGCATCATCAACCACAGGTGAGCTCGTCCCAGCACCCCGGTCATGGTTTCCGTGCCAACGCTCACCGATCTGACCCCCCCCCCCCCCACAGCGTGGACAAGAAGGGGGTGTACCACTACCTGGTGAAGTGGAGAGACCTCACCTACGACCAGTCCACCTGGGAAAGGGACGACATGGACATCCCGGACTTTTCCATCTACAAGACCAGCTACTGGAGACACAGGTGAGTAGAGGAGAGGACCCCCCCCCCCTTCACCACCTCAGGGGGCCTCCATCCATCTGACTTCTATTTGGCCGCCCACCCTGAGCCATGGTTCTGCTCGAGGTTTCTGCCAGTTAAAAGGCAGTTTTTCCTTGCCTGTGTCGCCTAGTGCTTGCTCATGGTGGGAATTGTTGGATTTCTGTAATTAACTTCAGAGTAGGGTCTGACCTGCTCTGTTTGGAAAGCGCTGTGAGACAACTGTTGTTGTGATGTGGCGCTATATAAATAAAATTGAATTGAATTGAATTGAATATTTATTTATTTATTTATTTTAACAAAATTTTTATTTTTTATTATTTTTTCAGAAATAATACAATGTGGTACGAATGTACATGTGTATTTTTACATTTTTAAACAAAAAAAAACAAAACACAAACACAGGGTGATTTCAACAGTGTGAGAAATAACAAAACAAAACAAAAACCTTATTGCATAATTAGTGGAACGACAGGTCTCCAACGTTTATTGAATATGGGTGTTTGTAGTCTCAGGGAGTATGTTATATATTCCATTTGGTATATATCCCAGACCTTCTGAATCCATATATTGTAGCAGGGAGGCTCAGGTTTGAGCCATCTGATAGTTATGCATTTTAGAGCTGCTGTTAATAATATATACAAAATATATTTTCCATCTCGTGTAGTGATAGTTTTAGGTGTTACTCCCAATAAGGCAATGATGGGATTTCCTGTTTGAATATTACTTTTATGTCATCAAAAATGTCTTTCCAAAACTGATTTAATTTGGGGCATTGCCAAAATATGTATGAGTGCCATCTGACTTCTATTTTTAACCCTCCAACAGGGACGCCATAATGAAAGAAGACCCAGACAAACCCAAGAAGATGAGGAGCAAAAGTGAGGAGGAGGAAGAGGAGGAGGAGGAGGAGTCTCCGGCTTTACCGGCCACAGATGTGAGCTCCAGCTAGGTGTATTTTTGTCTAACATAGAGATTTATTTGCTCTTTTTGCTGTTCAGTTCACCTAAAATCTTGCCTTGATTTGGTGTGTTTTTCTGCATTTTGTACACTGGACCCAGTTTATGGGGGTTTGGGCATAATTTATTGGCGTTTGAGCAAAAAAATATGCTCACAGCTCAGTTTTGTATCAGTTTTTCTCGATTTAAGGCGCCTAAATTCGATGTTGACTCAGGATTTTCTAGACATAAGGCTCATCGTGGTTCAGATTATCCGGTTTTCTTCCAGTGTTTCAGGGCTGGATTCACTTTATAACAAACCTCCTGGTGAAGTGATGTTTTCTACCTGGAATGTAAAGCGTTGAACCTCTAAATTGGATGCCTCTTTTGGTGTCTGCAGCCCACGATAAAGTACGAGGAGCAGCCGGACTTCGTCTCCTCCACCGGCGGCACGCTGCATCTCTACCAGCTGGAGGGCCTCAACTGGCTCCGCTTCTCCTGGTCTCAGGGCACCGACACCATCCTGGCGGACGAGATGGGTCTGGGCAAGACCATCCAGACCATCGTCTTCCTTTACTCCCTCTTCAAAGAGGTAGCACCCCCCCACACACCTTTTTTCCCGCCTCCAGGAGGCCCCGGGGGTCCTCAGCCTGTGTCTGTTTTTTCAGGGTCACACCAAGGGCCCGTTCCTGGTCAGCGCCCCGCTGTCCACCATCATCAACTGGGAGCGGGAGTTCGAGATGTGGGCGCCCGACTTCTACGTGGTGACCTACACGGGGGACAAGGACAGCCGGGCCATCATCCGGGAGAACGAGTTCTCCTTCGACGACACGGCCGTCAAAGGAGGGAAAAAGGCCTTCAAGCTGAGGGTGAGGAGGGTTGAATGTGTAAAGTCTGCA